ACAATTATTCACTGAAGGCGGAGTGAATATTGCTGAGTAATCCCTATGACAAAGTCAAGGGAATACTCAACTAATGTTCACTGAGCCTGAAGCAAACTGATTATTGTTTTAGTGTAATTACTCAGGTGCTTTCCAATTCTGTTGTAAATTCTGTTAATAAAAAGAAGAGCATTCAACATATTTTGTCACAATTGTGGTGATTACTCAAGATAAGAGAGGAGTTTTAGCAGGTTTGTGCAATTAAATCAGCAAAACCTTATATCTTTCTTTAGCATCTTTTGTGCTCTTTGCATTTGAATTTTATTTTATCACATTTATCACTTCCTTGGAGACATTGACAAATCCCCAGGCAAATTCTCCTTATCAGTAGCTTTGAAATAGTATAGACTGAGGAAAGTTTGGAGAATATGTATAGTAATGTTAAGATAAATGTGGCCCATCTGAGGTGGCTTATGTGACGTGGCATAATTTAGTTAACTCAAGTGAGAACGAATTGACCTCCAATTCCCTTAATATGAAAAGTTTAAAAGAGTTTCTACATAATTTGCTTCAAATGTTGAACGTTTAGTCTGTACTTCATCACAAAGAATTGTTTACATTTCATTTCACCCGATGATTACATCGTTTGGCAAGAACCACAACTTTGCATGATGTTTTCCAAATTATTCACCAACCGCATATTACGTAACTTGAATTCGGAACACACAAGTTTAGCATATAGTTTCCAACTTAATAAAACAAAACTGCATCTATCTCGCTGCACACTAACCCGTTTATGAATTCCTCGAAATAGAACAAAAGCCTTGTGAAAAGCTACAGTGGTCATATTTTAAGACTCAGGTGGAGGAAATGTTACGTCTGATAGTTGAAATCCTACGAGCTGGATCAAGAAGGTTTTGAACGCTTCATTGCTATACCAGCTGTTACCAAGACTTTTTATTTACGAGGTAGCCCGGCACTCTTACCTTCAAATAAGATCTGTTTGATCCTGGGCTCATCTTCTTTCTCTCCACAACATAGCCGCCGGCAGATAGAAGCTCTGGGTTGGGGAACAAAAACATTGATATTTTTCCAAGATAGTTCGACCTTTTCTCTGAGGTCTCCAACACTTGTTACGTTTGCGATCACATCTGTCCCTGGACCTTCGTATTTCGTGTTAAAAACCAAACTATTTCCACTAGTAGACAATCCTGGCATTGCAGAGATTGTATCGAGGCTTTCTTGGGTTTCTTCATGCTTTATAAGCGTTGGGCTACCAGTTTCTTCCATTCTCTTCGAGGCGTCCTTCGCGTCAACGTTGTCGATGTGGTTCACTGCACATGGCAAAATTAGATTTTGCTTCATCATGTCATGCAGAGAATCCAAAAATATACTGCGACTTTCAAGTTAAATATTAACTCAACGTTGCTCAATACCAATTCACTTTTACAGGTGTAAATGTCGTTTGTAGCCTTCGACAGTAAAAATGACCAAACCCATATAAAGGGGCTCGCAATTATGTAATAGTGCAAGTTACCTGACGATTTTTAAAATTGTACTCACCACAGAATACGCATGACGCACACGAAACCAACTGAAAGGTCCCAACAAAGGCCGGAAATTCAACAAGAGCTAAATCTTTTCGAGTCCATTAAGATAAAAAGGAATACCAAATCCAATTCGAAGTTATATTGCAACTTGTTTACCGCCAGATTACAAATACATTCACACTTAAAACGCAATATCGAGTAAACTATTTGAAGAGGCTTAAAAAATAATTGTGAAATTTTCCCGGTTTATATCCACCGTGAATAGCTATAAGCTTATTTGAATATAGCTTTAATAATCCTACCTGATCCATTTTTTGCAGGAGTAGCATTCACGTCCAAAATTGTCCACATTTCCACATTGTTCGCGGCTTCCTCGGCCATAATTTGGCTTTTTGTAAGAAAGAGAATAACTTACAACCACGCAGCTATCAGCAACCTGTAAGTCTTAGTTCAACTAGATGGCATGCGCAAACGGGTACTTGGAGTCGATGTCCTCCAGAACCTGTGGCTTTGGAGAGCTTTCCTCTTAAAACCTGGTTATGTAAACTGGTTCGCAGCTTCAAATTGTACTGCGTAGTTAGGTATAATTCGACACGCGTTCCAGGCAATTTTTCGCCTCCTTTGTTTTCCATTGTCAGTGACTGTATCGGTAAACAATTATGAAAATGATATGTTTTGTGCAGTCGATGCCTTCATTTGAATTCAACATACACTTGAATCGTCAACACGAGAACTCTTAGCCAAGGCGAACAAAAAGACACATAGACAGAGAAAAACTTTAATGCCCCAACTCGTGATCAATAACAAGGTTATCACGAGTTTCGGAAACTGTTCGATTTGTCACGCTTCAACCAAGCTACTCCTAAACCACCTTCCACACTTAAATACCCAAAAGCGCTGATAAAAGAGATCTTTCGAAAAAAGTTTCAAAAGTGGTGTGTTTTGATAATTGTTTTCGAACGCACTGTTTCTGGTCCGGAAACGAAACTTCTAAATCTGCGCGGGGGAGGGTACTAAGGGAAATTATTGCTATGCATGCGCACGTCCGGCGCTTGCCTCAAAGACCCCTTTCTATTCTGTGGTCAATTACAGATCCTATTTTAGTCACCTTTGGACAAATATAACTTGAGGAATGGACATTGTCTAGCGTGCTCGCGGAAAGCATAAAGGTAGCTTAATAGATGCCCGAGGTGCAGCCGAGACCATCTCTTCGGCTAACTTCGTGCTCTTCCAACTATCCACATGCATCCTGAATCGGATGAACGTATGCTAGACATTTTCCATTGCTTTTATAACATAGCTAGTAAATTTGTGTAATCAAATTTAATTGCGCGAGCGTGCTTCATATTCCTATTGTGCACGCTCATAACGTCAGCAAACAAATCCCTCGAGAAAAAAAAATTTCCATCGGGTCGGAAATGTTATAAAACAATTGGTTCATACGTCAGCTGTGCGTTCATCGAGATATGAAGCACTTGTGAAGCTTGGAGAGCACTCAAGAAGCTACAGTTGCTCTCGGCTACGCCTCTAGCAACTCTTACGCATCTTTCTTGCTCTCCAAACTTCCCGCGTGCTTCATATCTCGATGAACGCACGCTGATGTATGAACCAATTGTCAATTTGCACTTGATGCGCGCGCTTTGCTTATGCTTGCTTATAATAAGCTATCTCGTACTTTTTCAGGTATATTATTAACACGTTATCACATGATTTTTCTCATACAATTTGGCATAAACAAGCACTTGTTAATTTTTTCAAAGACCACAAAGTGCACTCGCCCAACCGGCTCGTGCAATTTTGTTAGTCTTAAAAAAAATTTACCTGTGATTGTTTAGTCCAAATTGCACTCGAAATCATGTGATTACCTAAACAAATTGCAAATGCTCTCAACCGTGCGGGTGCAGAATTAAAGTAGAGCAACTTGTTTTTCAAAAACACATTTATGTTTACAAGCTAACATCTGTGATGACAAAATAATTGTATCAAAATATCACACATACGCCGTCCAGCTCAAAATATTTGGCTTAGATGTCAAGGAAAAAGTTTCTTTGAAGTTCACTCATTCAAAATGATGTAGCCTTCAAAACATAAGTCATTTTGAAGGATTTGCCGAAGAGACCACGACTTGCACATTCTGAATCTAACTGTTGCTGAAAATGGAGTCGAAATTACACGACATTGGCCTAAAATGTTGGCTTTATCGCCATCCCTTTTCTGTCCTTTGCTTAAAATCTGCGGAGATTTGCTCCGAGTTCACTGATCGTCATGTTTTCCAGCTCCATTTGGATGTTTTTCTCTTCGCAATATGTTGTCAATTACAAGAAAACAAGGTAAACAATGGAATTGAGTCATTGTCATTGTCATTGTGAGCGTTTTTCTTTGTCTTGTTTAATTGTTTGGTTGTTTATAGTGTTTTTTCCAAATCCCCCTTGGATAAAATTTGCGAAGCGGTTTTTTCCACCGGTGGCACTTTCGCTTTGTTGATCTTTAGACGCTACCGATGTTCTACAACCATTTCAGACAAGTTTTCTAAATCTTTAAAGTCATCGAGAAACCAAAACTCAAATGTTGGGTGTAGGCGCAAGAATTTGTACTATCATTTTTTGTTAGTGTTGGTGTTTCATAGTTTCGTGTTAGGTGTTTATTTTCTCGTCTTCCATTAGTGTCCTTTGTCAGTTACCAGTTCTGTACTTGTTATATTTATTTGCATATCGTATATATATTGGTTGCGCGTAATTTATTTGGTTAGTTGTCTAGTTTGTGAAAATTACCGTTACATATCTAGCTCTGGGTTTCATGTTTTCGTCTTTGGGTTGGTCACATTCGTCTTGTAAGTATCCTTGTTTATCTCGCTTTGTCGTTTTCCAGTACTTTCACTCATACGATGTAAGTTATTTTATGCTCATTCGCGTTTTTGTAATTTTGTCATTTTCAGTTACCGTATTCAACAATGTGTCAAGTTTGTTCTAGTAAAGTTTGAAATACGTGTGATTAGCGTTTGCGGCTATATGGGTTATTACTAACCATTATAATAGCTGAATTTAAGTTTTACTCAAACAGAATTTTGAAACAAATTTTTGCTAGCAAGAAATTTCACCGACAATTTCGCCAGCCTGAACCATCTCTATGAGCCATCCAATTCTTTTTCATAAGATATTAGCCAATCAGAGCTCGCGTTAGAATATAGCTGTGTTATAAGAAATTATAAGCGCGAATCTTCCCATTTCCAAATACCAAATTCCAAATAATTTCATTTTCCCCCAAATCTACCTTTTCCCCAAATCCCGAATATGTTCGACCCCATTCTTGAGGTTGGCAAAGGATTTATACGTAAGTTTTTCCTTTCATATAAGTGACGCGTGAAAGTTTCTTATATTCGTGCGTATAACAGGATCAGGACCCTCCCCCTCCCCCCCTTTCCTACCCTCATTCTTAAATCTTTTGAAAACGCAACCCCATTGTTATCCATATGGAGGTGAAAATGAGACCCCGTTCCGTGACAATTCCCCATTAGCCTATTACAAGGAAGTATCCACCTTGAGGTATCAGTACATAAAAAATAGTTAACGTTTCAGAATGAGGAAGGTATCTGTTTTCGTAATCAGTATATTTTTCGTTTCACTCTGATTATGTTCATCCATATATCGCATCTAAGTTTCGTCAAAATCCGAAAGAGGAGAAAGAGGAAAAAAAAAATTTATTTTTCGTGATCCTCTACACATAAAGGTGTAGTTTATTGGTGAGCCAGATTCAGGTTATAATTGAAATTAACTTGACTGAAAAAAGAAGAGAGAACGAAAGAAAAAAAAAACAAGAATGACTGAAGAAATAGAGATATGTTCACAAATGCATGCAGTAACGAAAATGGCGAAAATTCTTCAAAATC